TTTTAATTGCATGATCTACCACTATCGGACCCGGATTTCCCCTTTCTTACAGTACATCATTCGACAGGCGCAAAAGGCCACACAGCAAAAAGTCTCAATGCAATCACAAATTCACACGATGCATGTCTTAAAGATCCTACAAACTACTACTCTGTATATAGACAAATGGGTAATAGATAAAAGTCTCACCAACACTTTACGCCATACTACTCTTACTTACTACTATGCTCATTACTACTGAGTTCTACCAGTACGTCTTGAAGACTACTAGCTGATTCAATACCCTACATAATAATAACCCGCCTCTCCCCAAACCCTAGGCTGTAGCCACAAAACACCTAGAACCAAGAATCACCCGATGAAACACACAATATGTGCGCCCCCAACCCGCGGATGAAACGAAAGTGGCTGTCAAATGGTCGAAACGGAGGAATGTGGACTCGCAGGGCCTCTGGTATGCAGTATGTGGAGCCACACACTCACACACACCACCGTCCGTCCGTAATGCATCATGCGGGCTGGGGAACATTTCAAATTCATTTGACGTTGTACAACGTATGTGGTTACATTCCGCGCATGATATCTAAATAAATTAATTTAATTTATGGAAACTATGTGATATTGTTCATTGTGGGAAAGTATGTAATACGAAAATGAGGATATTACTTGCTTTGCTCCATTCCATGGGGTTTTGAGGTGTCTGGGCTACTTCATCTTCATAAGCGCTAGGAATTCTGAGGAGAAAAGTTCGTTATTTGATGGCTGATAAGATTACTGTGTACAGGTTTTGCTGGCTTGGCAGATATGGGGGGGTTTTTTGCGTTGGGAATTTGCCATGGGTGTTGTCGTGGCAGGTGGGTTAGGGTTGTATGTGCGGAATCCAGCACGCCCGTTCCAGACGGTGGTGGTGGTGGTGGTGGTGGCGGCGGTTGGACACTGGAGTGATAGGTAGGGAAATAAAAAGACAGATAGACGCAAGGTAAGGATTTTGATCTCTCACCTGGATTGAGCGCCTATCATGGGAGCTGGAAATATTAGCCGTCGTGATGATGTCTGTGTGTCTTTCTCAGCTGGTGGGTGCCATCAAAGAGGCCGTGGAGACTCGTCAGCCCCATCCAAACGGCTTCCTCCGTGCGGATGGTTCTGCTTCCCTGTCCGGGCAGGAAGTTTACCCAATAGTCGAAGAGTTTGTCGGCATCTGATGGGCGGATGGCCATGCCACGGAGTTGGGGATCGTTCCGGACTGCTGCCTCGATCCCAGCAACACCACCAAAGACGACGAGAATGTGCTGGAAGTCTGGAAGGTGCTGTTCGCCACAAGGGATGTGATGTTGCTCGTAGCGATCGTGTGCTTGTTGGGGCTTCTCTTCTAGCACTGTGGAGATAGACATACCACGCTCGGACGTGCCGAAGGATAGGTCATAGCCACCGTCATAGGGACACTCCGTAAAAACAGAGGAGAGAGACCGACATCGTCGCACATAGTAGCCCCAGTAATATCCCGCCTCAACACGAGGAGTGGATGAGTGTACGGGTTCTGCATACGGGAATCCATGCTGGGGAAATCGGACTGTTACTCGGGCATGTTCTGGAAGGTGGACGTTTGGAAGAAATATTTTCTGTGTGAGACCTGTGTCCACAATTGTGGCAGGGCCATTGTTAATAGAGCCGTTACGATGGTGGAACTGATGATCATTGCCCATCTGAGTGACCTTGCTGGTCGAATGTCTGTTTCGCGCTGAATATCGGTCAGGACTAGAAACAACAATGCCTTCACGGAAGTCGCACCACTCATTGGCACGCAAGTGATGGGGCATATCCAAGCTTGGTAGCAATCCAGCTGTGCGAAGATTGGGATGGATAGGAAAGAGGTGTTTGCGCAAGTATGGTGGAGTCTCGAGGTACGACAGAATATGAGTCAGGAAGTGTGAAGGGTCCGAATTCGCGGTATAGGCTTTGGGAGAGGATGCACCGCCATCCATTTGGTTTCTAGTTTTGGCAATGGGTGAGTCATTGTGATCTTTATGCTCTTGAAAGTCATAGTATGCACCATATTCATCATCGTCAAAGACCACGACTTCGTCGACGCAGAAGACGGCGAGGGCGCGCGCGATCACACCGGCTAGGAGGGTCTTTTGCTCGACAGAATGCGCGCTGTACAGCAGATGTTAGTGTTGACTACATCAGTAGCCCCTAGGGTGCATTGATCGAGGTTATTTTACTTGGCTATGATGCTGCCCGGAATGGCAACGCTCAGAGTATGCGATCGGCCACCCTTGGGGTGGAAGACGGCTGAGGGCTTTTCGGTGAATAGGGAATTGATTGTGCCATTGTGGTGCGATGGAGGACTATCTTCGTGGGTAGTCTTGCGTCTCTACATGATTAAAGCGATCTCAAGTCAGACACTGTTATTAAAAGGAGTGTAAGCTGTCATTGACATACCTTATAGTTGGGACGGCGCATCGCAGGGCAGCAGGAGGAAGCAGAGAGCGATGGAGAAGGGTGAAGAAGGGGAAGTAGAGGATGAAAAGGGACTTCAGGAACGAACGCTTCTCCATTTGACGAGACAAAAGATCCTTTCGTGGAGTAGGGGATGGCCCAAACAACACACAGTGGACTAGTTCAAAGGCTTTGGTTGACCGATCACATTTCCTGACGATGACGTTGAGCTCCACCGTCTCCACCAACGTTAAGTCAACATCCTGACGAGGTTACTCTGTAGTAATTGCTCAACTCAAACTATAGATGCTCCTTAAGAAAAGCACCTTCCAGGAACGTTTCCACAAAATCGGATACATTTTCCGTTCAGTAACCACTACCACTACCACTACTAGCAATTCCCGTCGTCTCCTCCTGCATAATCTTCACCCCCGAACTGCTCCCAATACGCGCCGCTCCTGCTTGCAACATCTTGCGACAGTCCTCTGCTGACCGTACTCCTCCACTGGCCTTGACCTTAGTGCCCTTTCCAACCAGATTGGCCGTCTCTCGCATAAGAGCAACGTTCTCCAAGTTCGCTCCGGGCCCACTGAACCCAGTACTAGTCTTGATGTAATCCGCTCCAGCTACACACGCCAGCACCGAGCCCGCTATGATCTGCTCGCGGGTCAACTGAGACGTCTCCAAGATGACCTTTAGCCCGACGGGTGCCGGGGCTGCTTTGCGCACTTCCAGCACGTCCGCATAGACATCCTTGAACTTTCCCTCTTGTAGAAGAGGATAGTTGAGCACCATATCGAGCTCAGACGCTCCCAGCTTCACTGCCTCCTTCGCTTCAGCTGTCTTCTCGTCCGTCTTGTAAGTTCCCTCATGGAACCCAACCACACAGGCTACGCCGACAGCCGGATGCTCTTTCAGGTTCTGGACTGCTCGAAATACATGATTCAGTCGGACGCAGACTGTCGCGAATTGGTGCTGGATGGCTTCCTGACAGAGGTCGTCGATCTGTTGCTCCGTCGCTGTCAAGGCTAGCTGGGTGTGGTCTATGGTACGATTGATTTCAGATGAAATGTCATATGATGGGAAGGTCGTAGGGAGTGATTGTTGGACGCTGGAGATCAGCGTCGCCCATTCGGCATCGGTTTGTGGTGTAGTCATGGTGTGATAATGGACCTGATGATTGCGGCCTTATCAATAACTTTGAGATCTTATGGACGATCACAGCAACCAAGATGCAATGAACTTGATGTAAAAGAGAAAATAGATTAAAGAACTAGTTGGGTCTGGAAGGTACTGAAGCTCAGATGATTTCCCGGCACCGGCCCCTCTTTTGCGGGGCATTGGCATTTCCCCATGAATTTACCCATGGGAATCAACGGCGTTGTTGATCACCACTAGATCGGGCCTAAAATATCACAACTTACAACTACACAAAGCATCATATACGACTCTTCTACAAGCCATACCAACTCCCTACACATCCCATCTACCACAGAAGAATCCAATCACAACAACTCCATTCCATTGTTCCAATCCATAATATAATCAATAAAGAGCGCCCTATCAAACTCCCATCCCTCCAATACCACCATATCTCATTTTCCAAGCCCCCTTAAAGACAGCACCCCCAGATCAACCACAGCTCTTACACTCCGGCCCACGAATATCATCTACCCGACCGATCCTCGGTCCACCACCACCACCACCGCCGCCTCCGGGACCCCATGATCCGCCTCCACCTCCACCTCCACTGCCCCAGCGAGCACGAGTATTGGGAGTTTTCCCTGACTGAGTAACGTTGAATCGGGAGTTCTGGGCTGCGGTGTAAGGGTCCAGCTAGATCATGACATGTACCGTTAGTATAGGGTTCGGCTGGATGGGACTCCTAGTTGGAAAAATGGGTGTAGGTGTAGTGCATACCGAGAATAGGCTGACGATATACAATCCGAGGAAGAGGTAGATGTTCTCGACGAAGCGGATGATTCGGACTGTGATGGGGGGACTGGACGGAGGGTGAAACTGTTAGTTCTGTCGTTCAAGTAGGGTTGGGGGTAATCATGGATGGATGGGGATTTACCTTGCGAGAACGCGTCCCCCAGACACGTAGGTCTTTGGTTCGGATGCCATGCTTGTGTCGGTTTGGGGGAGTGAAGAGTGAGATGGATGATTGGTACAGGAAGAAGACGATGGGAGGCGATGCGATGCGCCAGATAGCGAGCTTGCTGGAAGAGGTTTAGCGCCTTTAATGGGGACTGTGTATTTCCTTATTTGGTCTAGTGCATAGAGACCCTTAGATGACATCAGTTTTTATACAACTTGAGACAGGGTTTAATGTTGATTTTCCCCTGTAGCTAAAACAACTGCTACATACGAATGAAACTTATCTATTTATGGATTACTGAGAGCTGCAGGTAATGTGACTATTCGTGGTAGACTGCGCAGCGAGTATCACACAGGTGTCAAGCATCAGCACCGCTCGTTGGAACTACTTCCGTCTGAGTATCTGGCATGGATTCCTTTGAAAGCTTTGATGCAGCGGTTCCAGCCAGCTCTTGGATAGAAGAACCCCCGATAATCTGCAGCACAGGAAGGTCAACAGACAGCTCCCTAACGAACCAATGCCGCAGCTCGATAGCCACCAGAGAATCCACCCCCATCTCGGTCAATGTAGATGCTCCAGTAAGCGATTCCTCGGCGGATAGTTGCAGCCTGGAGCGCACTTCCTTGATAAACCCTTCAGTTATTATATCCGTGGCTTCGCCAGTGCTCTTTGCCAGCTCGAGTTGCTTCCTTATCGGAACATCCTCGTTAGTACCGGATGCAGATGTGGTCGGGTTAGCCGCATGGCTAATGAGATGCCACGCCTTCGGATTTCGCAACCATAACGCGTTCGAATTCTCTTCAGCGTTTATTACCTGGTAGCCAGCAATTACTTCAGGATCTTTGCTAGAGCCTGGGTGTCCTGCAAGGACACCCTCTGCGAAGAGCTCATGCAGGTCTTGCTCACTGAAGTTTGAAGCACCAGTGTTCCGCTCGATCATGTTCTGAACTGCACTGTCTGCTCTTGCAAAATACCCTACCCCTTTAATCAAGCCTGGATGAATAATGCTGCCGACTAGGCCTTGTTCGTGCCGCTGTTTGATAAGCGCTGACATGAATTCTGTGGCGGCTGAATATGCTGTCTGGCCAACATTACCCAGCGGCCCAGCAGCTGATCCAAATAGAATAAAGAATTCTAGGTCCAGGTCACCGAAAACTTCGCTCAGGGTAATACTGCCTTGAACTTTTGGGGCCATGACGCTCTGTATATTCTCTAGCGTCGTTTGAGCAAAGAGGCAGTCCTTGAGCACCATCGCTCCGTTGGCTACTCCCCCAATCGGAGGTAGTGATTCACGTATAGAAGCATAGACACGACACACAGATTCTCGGTTGGTGACATCACTGTTACAGATTATCAATATTTGTCTCGACATACTGTCAGGATAGACACTTACATTGCCATTGGAACAACTCGAGCACCCAGTCTTTCCATCTCCAAAATCCACTGCGCATCAACATTGGGGGAACGGCTGCCAAGGACCACAGTTCGGGCTCCTTTACTGACCATCCACTGGCAGACGGATCTTCCAAGATCACCAGTCATCCCGACAAGCAAGTATGTCTTTTGTGGGGATAGTGTGATCATGGAGCTTGCTGTTTGAATTTGAATATGGACTTGGCCTGGCTGAATCCAATCCACGATCTCCAACTGATTCATTCCCGGTGAAGCACCCTGCAAGTTTTGAACAGAGACAAGCGGAAATTCTTCCTGCAAGGTAGCCGTTTGTAGCGCAAACCCACAGGCTGCGAGGAATGTTTGCCCAACGGTGATCGGACTAGCAGGCCGCAATGATTTTGACGACGTTCTGCTCAAACTCGAGATATCAACTTGCACAACATCCTCGGGCAGGAGAGATATGATTCGATCGTAGACACTGCTCGCACCTTGAGTACAGCCGACAATGACAGAAATGTCTTTCGGCAAAAGGCGAGATAAAGTACGAGAAGAGCTTCTCTCGTGAATATACAGCACACCAGTCTTTGGCACTGCGGCTTGGACATTGGTCACAAACAATACCCGAACATTTCGTGCAAGAGCAAAGGCTGAGACAGCATCACACACAACCTTGCATAAAGTTTCGGCCTTATAGATCATGATCATTGTGTCGGGAAGCCCTTTGTCGACGATATAAGTGGCCAGCAGGGCAGCAGCTGTTCGCATCAAGACAGTAGCTTCTAGGCCCTCGGGAACGCTGTCTGGGAGCCGCCAGCACCACCCGAGTGGTGCCACAATAGCTGATGCATGTTGCTCTGATAGTGCCAGCCAACGTGTATTATCATTTCCATCTCGACCGATGACTAAATGCAGAAAGCCAGCGCCTTCCACCTTATAGGCAGTTATTGTCGAAAAACGTACAATAAGCCGACGATGGGTTGCAGTATTGTAAGCTTCTTCTTGCTGTCTAAATTCCAGGCTTTTGCGTAAGATGAACTCACTGCGCCTGGCAGACGGGGCAACAATCTGTACCGTGGAATCTTGCAGTTCAACCAAGCCATTGACCGTGCGATGGCTTGCAAGATATCGTTGATTCCTGGTGTCGTCAAACTGGATTCGCGGAATATGCAATACCCCATTTGATAGCCGTAGCTCGAATTCTGTACTATTCAGGCAGACATCCAGGTCATCATTATTGTCCTTAGGTGTATGGACTAACTGCATGAAAATATTGGCAAGAGTAGGCGCGGTGACCTCTTGATGGTTAGGTATATTCAGGTACTGAAAGATGGACTGGGGATTCTCATAGGCGAGGCAGTGAACAGTAGCCTTACTCATGCTCAAGTAGGGCTGCTTGCTTTCTGGGCCACTCGTCACCCAAAGAAGCCTGCTGGCGCTGTTCATAACCATCTTGAGGCCGCTGAGACACTGTGCTGTGATATTCTCGTAGCAAGGCGAGTCTAAATCGGTCAGACTCAATACACACCAGCCATATATGTCATCCAGGTCTAGTACATCGAGACTCTGTACAAGAACTAATTGACGGAAGCACGGTCTGAGCAAAGCTTCTAAAGCAGATATCATAGCAGATGTTGCTCCTGTCGCTCCACCGATGAGGAGTAGACTATCTGATAGTGTTCCCCTCCAATTCCAGGGTTCGCGGAGCAGTTGGATACGATCATCGATTGCCTGCGTGACAAAGGTCGATTCATATCCAAACCGACCAGCCGATGACACCGCTTCGAGTCCTCCAAAACCAGTCTTCTTGAGCAGTAGATCCCATTTTTGGAGGCTAACCATCGGGCTTTGAGGGTTTCCGTTCTCATCGGTCCACCACTTCTTGAAAGAGCTGACTATCAGCCCAAGGCGATTGACATTCGTGTTGGTGCCGGTACGAACGACCAGATATCCACCGGGCTTGAGCAGCTGTCGAATGTGTTTCAAGGTCTGCACCAGACTTTCAGCACACCAGATCAGATCAGCTGCGATGATAAGGTCATATGAGTGCTCTCTGAAGTCTTGCTGGACGGGATCTGACAAAATATCAAGCGCCTGATAGACAATCCGATCTTTGTGTTGAGCAAGTCTGTCTCGTACATCCGCAAAGGATGTTGGAGAATTGTTAGTGAAAGTATAAGATTGATATGAACGTTTTATTTCCCTCAAAATCGATTCCGTGGCCAACCCCCTTTCTGCATTGAGCTCGAGTATTTTCATATGAGGGTAGCGGAAAGCGATCTGGCTAACGAGCACTGCAAGCTGCGAACGGCTGCGGTTGTTTTCATACGCATCCTTATAAATCCCATCCAACTTGCCTTTCTGACAAGAAAGCTCGAACATTCCGCTTCTCCCTCTGAGGAATTTCGACAAATTATCACCTGCTATCCGAAGCTGATCCCAGGGATCGCTACCTATGCGTGCCGTATTCGTAGCTTTGTCGAGAGCATCTTCCAGGGTGCCGTCTAGCCAATCTGGACGACATATCGGATGGGAGCCGTCGTTTGTTGTACAGAGAACCTGATCCATCCACTGCAAGACGCTAGACCGGTGTTGGTCAAGGTTTCTGCATTCCTCTGCGGAAAGCTGCCTCCGTGCATCTCTAATATACAAAAGAGCGCAGCGTTCCACCCACTGAATCTCTTCTGTGTATTGACAATCCTGATATACGCTTTGGGAAACAGCTTGTGGCAGCAGCGGGCCCCAGACAATCTTGGAAAAGATGCCACGATCCTCGGGAGTCGAAATAGGAGCCACATGGAAGCCCTCAATTTGGTAGACCCCGTGGCCATCAGGGTCAAATACATTGACATCCCCTGTCATGCCATCTGGGCTGCCACTTTCGAGGAAAGCTTCAACAGCAAGCTCAGTCATGGCCTCCACTGAGCTGGGCTTGCACAACTGCGGGTTAATTGCGATGTGCTCAATGGACACAGGGACATGTAGTGTGTGGACTTCATCGATGTTCCTCGCCGCTAGCAAGGCCTGCAAGCTGGAGTCAATGATGGCTGGATGTAGCAGCAAAGACGAGCCCAGCTCGGTCCCTGAAACCATGCCCGTCGACCCACTCGCTTGTCTAGTAAGAGCCTTCAGCCCTTGGAAGGGACCGTTGTAACCGAGACCAAGACTTTTCAGAGATGCGTAGAATTCAGTTATGTCCATTGACTGAGAAACAGCTGGTATAGACGATCTAGGGGGCAAAGACATAGCATCTTGTTCCCCCAACGACACAGTCAGTTCTCCAGAGGCGCATGTCTTTAGTTTCCCAGCAATACTAGCGTAGCACTGGAAGGCTGCAATGATGACATTGCTTTCTGATTTTGTAACGCCTAATTTCGAGATTATCTCCACACCTTGCGGATCGTCAGGAATAGGAACAGCACAGTGGATGCGCACATCATCGAATTCCACCAAACGCAGAGGTTGGCCACGTGCGGCTTTTGCAGCTGCTTCCAATGCCATTGATATGTATCCGGCTGCAGGGAACACAGTCTGAGATTGAACCTGATGGTCATTAAGCCATCCGAGTTCTGTCCGGCTTAAGTAGTTGCGCCAGCGCCATTCGTCCTCGCCTGTTTCAGGGCTGAGAGTCCCCAAAAGAGGGTGTGGGAGATCAGAGTGCTGTAGGCGCGCTTTAGTATGGCGAGACAGCGTCCAATAAGCTCGTGTTTTGTCGAAGGGATATGTGGGTAGGCATTTCACAAAACGGCTTCCATATGAATTATCGAACAGTGACAGATAACGCTGGATGTCTATATTTGCTCCCAGATGCGTCCAGAGTGAGCCAATAGCGCGAGCAAATACCTCCGTACTGTTGGCATCACGCTCAGCCAAACCAAGGTAGGTTGTCTCTGGCTCTATATCTGCCATCTCAGATGTTGTTTGCAAGACTGGTCCTCTGAGTGTGGGACGTGGCCCAACCTCGATCAATAAATCAAATTTGGGATTGTCTGCAAAAGCGGCCGCTACTGCCTGAGAGAAAAGCACGGGACGAAGCATGTTCTGGCACCAGTATTGAGGAGTGATGTCTTCAGTGTCTAGCCTCGTTTCCTTGTGTACACTAGAAAACCATGTCGTTGTCGTAGGATTTGCCTGAATTCCACAGGCCTCGAGAGCGCGCAGATACGGTGCAGCGCATGGTATCATATGGTGCGAATGATAGGCGATGTCCACATTCAGGCGATGCACCGCGAGATCTAGGCTTTCTAACATCCATTCGAGTTCCTGTATCGCTTGTGTATCCCCAGAAAACGTGACACTTACCGGAGAGTTACTTGCAGCAACTTTGACTGTTTCGCTGAAGCCACCTTCAGAGCAAAGTGCCTGCGCGTCTTCCCAGGGAATCCCACTGACCAGCATAGCTCCAGGATGGCCATTTGCGACGGCCTGTTCAGCTACGAAACCTCGCAGGTATGCAACTCTGATAGCATCTGCTGCGCTAATAGCGTCTGCAGCATAAGCCGCTGCAATCTCACCCGACGAGTGTCCCACGACAGTGGAAAAATGAACCCCCAGAGCCCGTAAAAAGTTTACTTGTATTATCTGCACAGCTGTGCGCAGGGGCTGTGACACAACTGCTTCGTGGATTCTTGAAGATGACTCGGGAGCCGAGAGCTCCTGAACCAATGAAAAGTCCGGACGGTACTCCAATGGAAGACTGTTCAACGACTCTTGCAGTTCTGTCATCCAGATCATGGCTTGTGGACTGGCTGAAATCAAGTCCCAACACATTTGCGGATACTGCGCGCCTTGTCCAGTAAAGATACCCAGTACTCGTTTTGGTGCATGGCTGGGCCGGGACATAATACTTGGAACTGCTGCTGACCTTCGCTTCTCAAGCTCTATCTTTATCCCTAATTGAAGGGCTTCAAGTGAAGCTGCTGTGATAAAAACACGGTGACTAAATGCTGATCGTCGTTTTAGAAGAGACTCGGCTAGGGTTATCAAGTCGACGGCGGGGTGCTCTCGAAGAAATTGGTCATAGCATTCTAGAACCTCTATCAGGGTTTTCGCTGTGCATGCAGAGAAAGTAAATGGAAGTAGCCGTGGGCACAAAAAATGCTCTAGCGTCAGTTTCGTTGGACTATAGCTTTCAATGATCGCATGTGCATTAGTTCCACCGAAACCAAATGAGTTAACCGAAACCCGGCGAGGAACACCTGGGGCAAGGCTGGGCCACGACAATGGCTCGGTTGGTATGCGAAGTCGAGAAGTCAGAGGTGCAATAACTGGATTGATGCGCTCCAATAGCATGTTCGAGGGTATAATGCCTTTCTGGACGCATAAAGAGGCCTTTATAACTCCCGCTAGCCCTGCTACACCTTCTGTATGGCCAATGAGGGTCTTTATTGAACCCACGTACAAGGGCTCTTTGATTGACTTCTCAGGCAAGGCTGAATCCCCATAGAATGCATTATATATGGCAGTGGCTTCTTGAGGATCTCCAGCCTGCGTGCCTGTGCCATGGGCTTCAAAAAATTGGCACCGGTCTTCGAGATGGTCTGCGGGATTCAGCCCGACGCTGGCATATGTTGAGCGTATAAGCTGTAATTGGGCAATGCTAGATGGCATGGTAATTCCCATACTGCGTCCATCGGCATTGATCCCTGTGGCGCGGACGATACATTCGATGGGATCCCCGTCCGCAATAGCATCGCTGAGGCGTTTCAAGACCACGGAAGCAATACCCTCACCCCGTGCATAACCATCCGCGCTTTCATCCCACATCCGACATCGTCCGGAGGGGGAGAGTAAGTGCATCCGGGAAGCAGCAATATACTCGCGGGGGCTAAAAATGAGGTTGCTAGCCGCCACCAGGGCTATGTGACAGTCCTGGTTTCGCAGAGCACTTACACCCTGGTGAAGGGCTACCAAGCTCGAAGAGCATGCGGTGTCTATCGTCATTGATGGCCCATGCCAGTCAAAAAAGTAGGAAATACGATTGGAAAGCATAGATGCTGCCGTTCCGGATGGGGTATACATGGGAACCTCATCCCAGTCACGGCTAATCAGATTGGCATAGTCCGTACTCATAAGGCCACAAAAGACTCCCGTGTCAGAACCTCGAAGAGCTTCTAGTGTTAAGCCTGCTGTCTCCAGAGACTCGTAGACGACCTCTAGTAGTAAACGTTGCTGAGGGTCCATCGACTCTGCTTCAACAGGAGAGACATTGAAAAAGGGCGCGTCGAATGCGCGGGGGTCCTCAGTAAGAAAATAGGATTCAGGAGAGTTTCCTGTGCCATGATGTTTATCAGGATGGTAAAAGGCATCATGGTTGAACCGGTCCTTGGGTGTCTTAGAAGCTACATTGCGCGGATGAAGCAGAAGGTCCCAGAGCCTAGTCGGGGAGGATGCTGAGCCTGGGAATCTGCAACCTGTCCCGATAATTGCGATGGGTTCAGGGACCGACATGAAGCCGAGTGAAGGAAATAGTGAGAAGCGAATAATCAATCGATTGCTGGTGGTTCCAGAAAGGAAAGACCACCGGGTCAGATGACCGAAGCGAACTGCAGGTTTCCTTTCCTTCTTATACACTTCAACTTTCTCCCATGTCATTTGATTTCCCGTGGCCTGCTTGTAACCAATCAACCTTAGTTTAGCACCGTGGCTTAGGTCGTCTTACTTCTAGGCAAGTGCATTTTGGAGAAGTAACAGCGCTAATGTCAGAATGGGGCAGTTATTGGTACACTTCCCCATGCAGACAGGGCAGACGCCTCCTAACTAAGTGACATTCTTGTTGGGATAGTGTAGGTGGGGTTGTGGGATGCAAACCTGGACCTGTCACTCGGCATGCAGGGCTCCTCCTTGACTGCCATGCTCACATCTTAGTCGATAAACCTTGGAGAACTGGCAATGCTCCAGTGAGCCACCTGCAGGGTGTCATATGTCCAGCCATTGAGCGTGATGGAGCGAACAAGGGCAGGGCGCTGCAATCAGCACTTCCTCCCGGCCGGCTCGAGACAAAGGCATTCACTGGGTGTGGCTTGGGATTTCTATTGGACGGATCGATGCTCGTGCTGCAGTTGCAGAATCGCGGCCAGTCGGAGGTAAGACCAGTCTAGGCTTGGTACCTCTTCTGTCCTTCGGTTGGTTCATCGCCGTCATCGGCGTCGCCTAGAACTACCCCGACATATGCATGTCTCGGACCCTTCAGAGCACGGGTATTTCCTTCACATCAAGCACGCAAGCCCATAATGCGAAGAGGATTCTGTTTTTAATACTTAGGTTACTTCCTATCACCAAACGATAGATATTTTTGTGTGTTTTGGAAAAATTACTAACTTATCTCATGGGGACAGGAATGTGCCTCGCTTGTGGAACTCGTCAGAATTCGGGGTCCCCCCGCCGCTAGATAAGCTAGCTGCATCACCCATCTACATCGGATTCAGATTAGATCACCGTCACAGCAAACAAGGCAATTATGTCCAAGCGCTTACCATGCGACTAATCACATGGAGCAAACTTAACCCTCTTCCGATTTCGCTGTACCCAATTATAGGACCTGGAAAATTCAACCCCCATCTGGGTAGCTACATTCTGACAGGCGTTCAAGCCCGCCTAGTCTGGTGATTTGATCATGCCTACAGCACACTTCCTGGTGAAGTAGTACGGGAAAATTACTGCAGCATGATGCGTGCTCCAATTCGTCAGCCGGAACTGACCCCATCTTGCATGTTCCCTTTCAGACTGATGCAATTTGTGCCGAAGTAGCTGAATACGGGCTTCGTGTCTGCTCGTGGTTCAGGCGCCATCCCTAAAATGAGACAAAACGATCTTACCTCAGACATACCTGCTAATTGCATTCTGTTACTCCTCAGCCTGTCTCTGCTTCCATTATGATGAACCTTCCAACTGTGCACAAGGACGTGTTGTCCTTTGCCTTTGATCACTCGGTTGACTATGACAAGAGCCAGCCACTCTATATTGATGCAAGAAATCCATCGCGCAGTTTAAATGCCAATCAGTTACGTCGAATAGTGCGGGCTTTGATCGCAGGCCTCAGGCGGTATATTAAGCAAGGAGAGTGTGTGTTGGTTCATCTGGGCAATAGCGTAGGCTAAACCCACAGGCAACGCCTAGTTCCCAATGACTGGGTCTAATAAACAGTCCTTAGTATGTTCACTCAGCTCTCTTCTTCGGCATAATAGGAGCCGGGGGTGTTTACATGGGTGCCAGCCCCGATAGCCCACCTCATGAACTAGCCAATGTTCTTGAGCTGGGGAGGCCAAGTTTAATCATTACGACGAACCAGACGCTTCATGCTGTCTTGAGTGTTGCAACCAGCAAAGGCCTCGGTCCGGAGCAAATCTGCCTGTTTGAAGAATTGACTATCACTAGCTTTCTAGAGTCAAACCTCAGTTATCGTCGCCAAAATGCTGAAACCATCACATTATACGACCTTCTCGCCTGCGGCGACGAGGATTGGATCCAGTTCGATGACGAATCCCTGGCCAAAACCACTCCAGCCGCTATGTATTGCACCAGTGGCACCAGTGGGCTTCCCAAAGCCGCCATTATCTCGCACCAGGCCGTTGTCTCCCAGCATCTTAACAAGCAATATGAGGTTCCATACGCTATCAGAAGACTGGTCACTGTTCCAGTCTACCATCGCTTCGGGGCACTGTGGCACGCATTTCCCATCCGTCAAGGAGAGCCAGCGTACTTCCTGCAAAAGTTCGAACTGAATCACTTCCTCGACGCGGTTCACAGCAACAGAATAACAGACGTATTTATTGTGCCAGCAATAGTTCACCTCTCACTTCAGTCCTCTCGGCCGGTGGCGGAGCTCCTTTCATCTCTGCGTATGGTAGGCGTCTCAGGCGCGCCCGTAGACACGGGATCATTGCAAAAATTCCAAGAACTGCTACACAAACAAGCTACTGCGGCGCAAAGCTGGGGCATGACAGAGACCGGCCCAGTATTTGTATGCAGGTATGGAGAGCGCGTCGATAAAGGAAGTATCGGAAAGCTTGTCGGGATAAACGAGGCAAGACTCATCGACGACGAAGGCATGATAATAACTAGCGACAACTGTCCCGGTGAGCTATACGTACGAGGTACGGGATTATTTTTGAACTATAAGGGACGAGATGACGGAGTCGACGCAGATGGATGGTTTCGAACAGGGGACGTGGCCTACCGACAAAACGAGTACTACTACCTGTTTGGCAGAGTCAAGGAAATTATCAAAGTACAAGGGCAAGTAGTACTTTGACCACCTTTTTACTACCGCTCTTCTAACAGTGGAATTCAGGAACCAAGTAGCACCCGCCGAAATAGAAGCCATCCTCTCCAAGCACCCAGGAATATCCGATGCCGCCGTCCTCGGAGTCCAATCCAGTGACAAGAGCACCGAACTGCCCCGAGCCTTTGTGGTCAAATCATCAGCTTTTAAGGCCAATCTGACCGCAGATGAAGTCTACCAATTTGCAAAATCCCAGTTAGCAGGCTACAAGGCTCTAGATGGAGGCGTGGTATTTGTCAGTGATATCCCTCGAACTGCGAGCGGGAAGATCCTACGGGACAAGTTGGCACAGATGAATGCTCGACGGGAGAAGATCGCCCAGGTACTTTCTCGTCGGGTTATCAAGGTGGTCACTTGATCTGGAGGCCAGGTAATGGTGGTGGTGGCGGTAATGGTGGTCTTTGAAACATAGCTAGCTACCATGCACACGTTCACGCTCGAGAGACCCTTATTAGTCTTTCAACCTGATAGGTTCCGTCACACTCATTTACCTATGCATATTCGTAAATCATGCAATGCTGCTCATGTCAGCAACTACTTCCTAGCCCATTAGCTACTACGCCCGACGGATCATGCACTCGACGCTAGTCAGTTACATCTAGACCAGGCCAGCATAATACCAGCCCCCGAAAAGGGCCCAATAGCTCTACGAACAGACAACCAAACCACATACAATAAGTAGGAAACAAGTGACCAAAAAAAAAGTCTTCTTTCGTCTATTCGGTATATGGGTATCTATGCAACAAAAATCCGTCCAAATCCAAACCCGAAGTGAGCATCATCCGTAACCGTAACGATCATAAAGCTTCTATCCCTGCATCATTCATTCTGACAAGCCGTAACCTCCGTAAGCAATTCATCCAATCCACGGAATCCCTCTTCCACGACCCATTTTTGTCCTTGAGCGGGATGTAGAACATGGCAGCTCGCGCCGACAACCAAGAGACCAGGGGGTCTTGAGCCCTCGGCTTCGAAGGCAGCGCTGACGTGCTCCAGGGTAGACCGGATGACGCGTTGGTCTGTGCAGGAGGCTCGCTCGATAATTGCGCATGGAGTGTCTTTCGGCCATGGGGTCCGTGGACGGGCACCCTCCGCTGGCTCGGTGGTCAGGGATTCGATGAGCGCGGACAGACGGTGCAGGGCCATCAAGAAGACGACGGTTTGTGTGGGGACGTAAGTAGGGGGTTCTGGGGCTGCGCCTTTGCGGCCTGTGCCTGTGCAGATGAGGACTTGGTCGGATACGCCTCGGTGCGTGGCGGGGATGTCTGCGAAGAGGGGCGCGCTCAGTGCACTGGTGATACCGGGAAGGACGACGGGTGTGTAGCCTTCGCCCCGGAAGAATTCGAATTCTTCGCCTCCTCGGCCGTAGAGGTAGGGGTCACCCTGCTTCAGTCGGAGGACGTATCTTCCTCGACGTAGGGAGTCCAAGCCCATCTTCAAGAATTCCTCTTGGGCCTGGTCTGCGTTGCCTGGGAACTTTCGCGCGATGTGGACTTCTGTCCTGCGGGGGATGAGTTCTAGGACGGGTGCTGGGACGAGTTTATCGGCCAGGATGATGTCGGCGGATTGGATGGCATTGTATGTTGCGCGTGTGAGTAGATCTGGATGTCCTGGGCCGGAGCCAGCAAGAACAATCTTGCCCTTCTTTGACAAGGTTTCCGAGTTGCTGAGATCTTTGGGCCCGTCTTTGCTAGACGAGTAGGCCTCAAGAATGGCGTTAATATCTTCGTCTGTGATGGCGGCCAGCTTGCGAAGGGGCCAGTATTCACAGATCTGGGACAGCCAGCGCATGCGGCGGGTCTTGGCTGCAGAGATGTCGTCTTCTGTCACTAATGTATTGAATGTGTGCCGTTGGCCAGTTGCATCATCTTCGTCACCCTCTAGCGGTGCATCACATAGTCCGGCAGCATAATCCTCCGCCCATAGGCGCTTTCTCACTGCACCTAGCCTGTCAATGGCACTTCCGAGATTTGATGGGAGTCCCGAGGAGATTTCCCTCCTGAGTCGTGACGCCAGCTTACAGCCGCGCCCTGAAGTTGTAATGCCGATGTGGAGAGGGCCGTCCGAATAAGTAGACAGCAAGCTGAAGGTACAGAGTTCAGGAGCATCTGAGACATTGACTGGAATTCTCAGACGACGGCAGAGCTTGGAAATGTGTGCACTCAATGGGTTGTTTCCGCCTAGAGTGACAAAGACCGTGTCTACAACACGGTCGACTTCCTCTCTTCCTAGGCTCGTGAGATCCTCATCCTTGAACTCTCTGCGAAGCCACTTCAAAGAGCCGTTCTCAATCCGTTCGACCAACGTGTATTGCAGGCTCTCTGTGTCCGGGGCAATGAGAACGGGCTTTGCGCCAGCTTCAATACTTTTGGCACAACGGGCTGCTGCAAGAGGGTTGGCCCCGATGATCAGATGGACTTGTGACTCAACGTTCACGGCTGTCAGTAGAGGTGCCGGAACACCACTATCTGATGCGTCCTTCATGTTTGAATTGCCACCGCGGGGTTTGCGGTCTAACCTTCGATATTTTCTTGAAGGTCGTTGTTGTCTTAAAAAGTTTTGGTTGTAAGAGCAATCAAGACCCTGAATTGGAGGACCCACGGTAATTTATGCTTGCATCCCACAATTGAAGTCGTGAGTCGATTAAGTTTCCAGGTTCTTCAACTCCGCGGAAAAGCCAACTGATGAGCAACGACTGCAGATAAGAACCACGTTCTCCAGTCAGCACGTCTGGCAGGTCGATAAGACTATCTCAACGATTAATAAACGGAGTCGCCACAGAAAACCAGCGGAATTGGAGTCATTCTGCCTCTGGGAAATTTATAGATGCATTTCCTGATGGGGTTAAGGCGATATTGCGTGATCGCATGCAGTGGCTTAGGTAAGCCAACCCCGGATTGGGAGATTCAGTATGGTGCCTGATTCATAGTAACAATGAGTATTAGCTGAAATGACTGTTCAACATCTTATACTCTTATCATGATATCTGGCAGAACAGAGTATAGTCGAGATATGCTCAAAAGTTATATCCCATGACGGGTGTGATTCGGGCGCATGACTCTAGACGCGAACATATGTCATGATATGTTCATTGAGAAGAGTTGTGTTTGATAGTTCAGTATTTTAGAGAGTTCAAGCAATTCCACTTGGTGAGAACCCATCACTGATAGAATATAAGTGCTAATGTTCGTGGTGGCCTTGTGTGTTTATTCTAGTAACCAAAACATTGGCCAGGTCGTGTTAGTTGGTAACCGGGAGTGTCCCATTCATCATAGTAGACGACGGATATAGGATTTTTGACATATTTTCAACAGAAATTTAAATCATATCGCTGCGAGGTCAGTTTCATCGAGAGATGGAGGCACGCGTCTACGATATGAATAGTATTGTTGAAGGATGTTGATCTGGTGCAAGTGCTGCAGCGGTGTATATCACGTGACACAGCTGCCGCCAGCTCGAGCTGCACGTCAGAGCTCCGATCCAGTCCATGCTTCCACTCATCTTTCATCATTCCCCCCAGACTCCCATCTTCTCCCCATAATCCCTCCCATATCTTGCATCCGTCTTTCTCTTTCTCAGGTTGATATCCACCAGATTTGATTTAGACCCTGCTGTGACGCTTACCCGTCACCATGTCCGAAACCCTGTTGAAGCCGGAGAAGGACTTCTCCAAGGATGCTGACAAGCTGATCCCCGAGGCTGAGCAGCTTGCTAAGGTTGGAGTTTTACCTTTAGGTCTGCAAATATAATTTACTGACCGTCAACAGACCGATGTTCAGGGTGCCATTGACAAGCTCCTTGTATTGGAGAAGCAAGCAAGACAAGTACGGTCCTTCCCTCGTTCGTTTGGCGACAACGCGATTCTTACCCATCCTACAGGCTTCGGATCTTGCCACAACATCGCGCATCCTTATCACCATCGTCACACTCAGCAAGAACTCGGGAGACTGGAACCTGCTGAACGACCAGGTGCTCCTGCTATCCAAGAAGCATGGCCAGCTCAAGCAGGCCGTAACGAAGATGGTCCAGACGGTGATGGGATTCTTGGATGAGACACCGAACTTGGATGTCAAGCTGTCCGTCATCCACACACTGCGGACTGTGACTGAGGGCAAGGTCAGTGAAATAACCACCCGTCCAGCTCCGCATCATGCTAATGCGCGTCTGCATAGATCTTCGTCGAAGTCGAGAGAGCCCGTGTGACCCGCATCCTTTCCAACATCAAGAAGACCCAAGGCGACCTGAACGCTGCTGCCGATATTCTTTGCGAGTTGCAAGTCGAGACATTCGGTTCCATGACCAGACGGGAGAAGACAGAGTTCATCCTGGAGCAGGTTGCGCTCTGCATAGAACGGGGCGACTGGACACAGGCCACCATCCTCAGCCGCAAGATCAACAAGAGATACTTCAACCGCAAGCCGAAGAAGAGCCCAGAGGAGATTGAGAAGCTGAAGAAGGAAGCCGAAGAGAAGGAGAAGACGCGTAGCCCGGATGAGGCACCGATGGAGGTGGACGATGACGTGACCGACTTGAAGCTTCGCTACTATGAACAACAGATTATCCTCGCCAACCACGACTACAAATATCTCGATGTTTGCAAACACTACCGGGAAGTGCTGGATACGGAGTCGGTGGAGAACAACCCGGAGCAGCTTCGCGCCGTAAGTTTACCTTAGAAGACTGGTGAGTACCTTCAAGCTAATATCATCCAGGTCCTCGCCAGGATTGTCTACTACATCGTCTTGTCTCCCTACGATAACGAACAATCCGATCTGTTGCACCGCATCCAACAGGACTCGCGGCTCTCCCTCGTCCCGGTTGAAGGCCGGCTAGTGAAGCTCTTCACCATCCACGAGCTGATGCGCTGGCCGATGGTGGGCGAGCAGTTCGGCCCTCACCTCTGCAACACGGATGTCTTCAAGCCTCAGCCCAGCCAGTCGGTCGAAGACCAGCCGTACCGGAGGTGGCAGGACCTCCGCAAGCGCGTGATCGAGCATAACGTGCGGGTGGTGGCCAAGTACTACACACGTATCCAGATGGGCCGGTTGACCGAACTGCTGGACCTGACGGAGGAGGAGACCGAGAAGTACATCAGCGAGCTGGTCTGTTCGAAGACGATCTACGCCAAGATCGACCGTCCAGCCCGACTGGTCAATTTCGCCAAGCCTCGCGATGCCGACGACGTGCTGAACGAATGGAGCAGCGACATGAAGAGCCTTCTGGGGCTGCTGGAGCGGATCGACCACCTGATCACGAAGGAGGAGATGATGGCGCGGATCCTCCCCACGCGAGAGAAGGGCAAGGCCCGGTAGATTCTGAGTAGCAGAATAACAGATATACACATTGATGATAGTAGAATGGGACAATAATGACATCGTCATACATACATACACACACGCTCGATCTATAGTCTACACTATCTATCTCTAATCTAAAACGGCAACTCCATCTCATTAACATCCACCTCCTCCTTCTCCTTCTTCCCCCCATTACCACCATCCCCAAGAACCCCCCTCACAAACCCCACCACAGCATCCAAATACGGCCTCTGCGCCGGCACAAAATGCCCCCCAGGATGCACCACCACCCTCCCCTCCACATCCACCGCATCAGTAACCTCCACCAACGCCCTACTCCTCCCCTCATCCACCACGGCATCCAACGACCCCAACACATGCAACACAGGTGTCTTCACACCCCCCTCATAAAACCCGCTATACCTCGGCCCCGGCGCCCTAAACCCACTATAACACACCGCAAACTTCAACTGCCCTTGCCCAACACTCCTCACACACTCCCACCAAACACTCGGGACCTCAAACCCCTTAACATTCTCCCCGTTCTCCTCAAACACACTCCCTTCCCTCACAAACTTATCCATCACCTCCTCCCTCCCGGGCTCCAACAACGCCGCCACAATCGCCGCCATCGCCGCACCCTGCGAGAACCCCACTACACCGTCAAACGGCCCCTCTGTCTTGATCACATTCGCGATCGTCTCTAGACCCAAGTGCAGGTCTGTGTAGAGCGGTGGGTTCGCGGTCGAGGAGCGTCGGAACCACCCGTAGGCTTCGGTGGGAGTGTCATCGCTGGTGGTGGTAGAGCCACCTTGTGTGGTGGAGGGCTCGTAGCCCGGGATGTCGGAGGGGAGGAGGTGGATGGGACCCGTTGGGTAGGTCGTTGTGATTGTGTAGCCGGTTGTGGGGAGGAGGGTCTTGGTGAGGTGTTTTATCACGGCGCGGGATTTGGCGTGGAAGAGGGGGCCGGATTGCGTGTAGCCGTGGAGGCAGAGGAGTTTGAGGGGGGGCATCTTTGGTTTTTTTTTCTTTCTCGGTTTGGGATTTTGTTTGTTTGAGGGGTTTGAGGGGGAGGTGTGAGGGTGATTTTGTGGTTTAAAAGGGATTGGGTAAGTGTATGAGGGAGGTGTCGGGGAGAGAAAAAGTACTAGTGGGAGGAGGATGTGAGGAGATAAGATAAGCCGGGTGGATGGGTAGATGGTGGTTACTACGGAGTACTTAGTTGGTTGGGGTATCGTCCTTTCTACGATATGGGGATGGGCTTTGGCTTTCCGGGTGTGAAATCTGGAATGTAGAGGGTTGTTGAAGTCATGCCTAGGTGATCACTTGGTCGCTAGGGCGTATCTCTACGTACAATCCAGTTGGTGGCACTCATACGGGCTGCGTTTTGGTCTAGATGCAAGGGCACTCGGTGACCCCAGCTTCGACATTGCGGAGATGCGGGCCAGATCTACACATTACGAGGGGCTACTGCTCTACTACTACACGCGAGAGTCCATACTGACCAATATAAAACATACGATTGCTACCACACGAGGGGTATCACAACTCTGCAGTGCCGGCACTGTCCTCTCAGACCTAGTAACCAGACTCCTGCAGCCAGTCACGCCGCTCCGCAACAATACCGGAGCCGCCATCATTCATCTTCTCCACGATGGAGATCTGTTTTTTTCCTCCTTCCATAATATCCGAATTCCTGCGGCAACCGGCAGAAGCTTATGTGCAGACGTGACTGGTGGCGTTGTATGATTTTTCCCCATATCGTGCCCCTGTTCGAGGTACATCCGTCGTAGGTACAAGGAACATAAGTTTGTCGAAAAACGATAATCATCACGCGAAAATCAAGAGAAAAGATAAAAGGCAAGAGTAGTTTTTGGTAGTATGGACCGATCATGTGCCAGATATCCGGAACTCCCCTGCGCAGAGATGTAGGAAGATAAAAAAAAAGTAGTAAAACGCTTTTTTTGAAGAGGTGTATCAAAAACGAGGTTCTGTGCCTGGTCAAAAATTTTTTTCATTTCCCTTGTCTGTGTGGTTCCGCAGGGCTTTCTCGCAAGGGGCGAGGATTCCATCTTCTATCTGAATCTGTTTCCTCAGAAAAACGAGATATATTAATCCATCATCATTGAAGAACGCCACATTGCTTTCATCATCGCTCCGGCACGGTTGCGTCGAGACGTTTACTTGCGGCGGAAAGAGCAGCCCTCAGTGAGACGGGCCTTACCACCGGTGGGCTGGCAGAGGACGGTCGA